CATACATCACTAGAGATTAGTATCTGGACTGGTTGTTGGCTTGGCTTGAGAATGCGCGCACACACAAACATGCACGTACACAATTTGCTCCCACGCAAAAAAAAAAAAAAAAAAAAAGGAAAACACCACCTGCTATTTTGTAAGTAAGGTTATGTCCAATATTTAGGCAGTAAAAGGTAAATATATAATTTTGTTTGAATTTGCTCTTTTAGTTAAGAAAGTTCCCAAAACATAGTTAGTGAATTAAAACTTACACAGTCCTCCTCTCCCATACTTCTATTGTTTTCTCTTGTTTGCTCCTTCTCAGCTGCTAGTTTCTCCTGTGGATGAAATTGACTTTTATGTATGATCACACACACATTCAGCATTGTTATTTTGATGACTAACTAAAAATGCTTTCTCCTGAAATGTCCGAGCGTTCGCTACTGAGCAGACATGAGTCACTATGCAGCTCAAGAAGTCAGTCTGGAGGTCAGGACTCCGGAGAGGCAAGACGCCGGCACGGTTCATTTTCAACTTAATAATGGCAGTGGGTGTGCGAGTGTACCTTGCGTCTTTGCAGAGAATTATGCTTAAGTCGGCTGAGGAAAAAGATGGCAGAGTGCGTCAGGGAGAGCGTCAGAGGCTTGGACGAAGTCAGGAAGCCTTTGGGTTCTGGAACTGAAAGGCAGGAAGAAGAAGAGGAACACATTAGGCAAACGTTGACCATTATTTCACAACACCTTTAAATCTTGCAGCACTGCACTCTCTCAGCTCATCTGTATGACAAGATCGGTCGTTCTATGCAGAGGAAAATGAACATATGACTGAGTACTGTTCTTTTTAAATGCTGCATAAGTTTTCAATCTTTTGCTTAAAGGATAAAAGCAAAAAACATAGATACTAATTAGCGATACGCGAGCAAGGCCTTTCTTTAGGCAGTTGTTTGGCTGTTTGAAATCATCAGTCTTAATTCTTTGCTTTATGTTCAGTTTCAACTGGCAGGGGCATTAAGCTTGAAGCCTCGTCTCTGATGAATTGTTCACTGTTTGACAAACTGCTGCTAATTGTGAAGCAAAATCAGTTCAGAGCTACACTTGTATCTTAAGCTTTGGGGGGGAGGCCAAATCACGGCTCGAAAAACTAGTAAAAAGTATAGCAAGCCACTACTCTATTTAAAGAAACGCCACAAATTGCACACGTTTGTTAATGTCTACATTAATAGCAAATTCAATTACAGGTGAAAGCAAATCATCTTAATTGTAAATCTTAACATTCAGATGATCGCCTACTTGAAGCACTGCAGTCTACCAGGTCATCAGTACAGCACTAATAGGAATCGTTCTGCGCACAAGTACGGCACGAAACGTTCTGCTGGCAATTAATGTTCTAGCCATGATGTCACAAACAGCTGGCTCGTCTTGACAGCAGCCTCTCGGTACTCCCTCCAAAAAGATGAGACCACTTCACATCAAAACTCTTCCGCCGCACTCAGACGAGTTTACCGGCAAATGACAGCTGCCCGCTGCCAGATCAATCGATCCCGAGCGGAGCATCACAGAGGGAGGGCGCGCAGCGCACCCATTTGGGATCAGTCACAGCTGGAACTATTCACACACTCTCTTCTGCCTGTGAGAATTCATCTTCGGGGGTGTGGAACGAAATCCTGGTTCAGTGCAGACTCTCATCCTATCAGAGCCCGAGAGAAGGGCTAAGGAGAGCAGCAGACTCAGCAGCACCAACAGCTGAACACGCCACTTGAGCTCAATGAATTATGGGTAACCAGCTCTTAAAGAGACAGTGTCCCGACGGTGCACGTTGCAGTGGGAGGACTGACGCGCCCGACCGAGCCTTTGATGAGTGTGTTAGCGAGCGAGTTATGTAAGAAGATGCTGCTGTAACAAATGTTGGCGAGCTCAAACAGCAGCTTTCACATAATTTATTCAACGGTAACATTCGCTTTCTGCATTTTTGATTCTTTTGTTCAAGACAAAATAAGGCTCAACCGCAATAAAAAAAACATGTGCCTGAGTGATGTTTTATACAACTAGTTTCTTTTCCAATGAAATTCTGATTAACATCCAAGCTGGTGTATGTAATAATGATCTGACACCGTACAAATACACCTAAAAAGACAAATTATTTTTTTAACATTAGGAAGCAGTCAAACACAAGCGCTTTTATAATAGTAGGTGACTCAAATAAAGCTGGTACAATTAAATTATATAAATGTTTGTCAAATCCTACATCAAGGGCCACCACTGCAGTGCTCTGCATGTCCCAGGTAGCCCCCGAGGACCACATGAGTAGCCCGTGGGCCTGTTGTAAAAATAGCTCATTTGTGCGTGAGCATAACGGAAGCATCAGCAAATCCAGCACTAGCGACGATGTCACAAGTGTCAAACTTGAGGCCTGGGAGCCTCCATGTCATTTTCTGGGGCCCGCAAAAGCAAATCATGTGTCAACTTGCATGATCCTTGCTAAAATCTGTTCCGAAATGTCAAATTGTCATATTAATGTTGAGATTTTGCAATAATTTTGTTACCCTGTTTACACTCGAACATTAATTTAAACTATTATAGTTGACTAATTTCAAAACTAGTAAACAATTAATTTGTTGTGTACAAGAAATAATGGGATGAGATGATTAAAGTTTTTTTATGGTTTCACTGTCATAACGTTGTCTGTCTATTGTCTAATTGTGCACATGGCAACAAAATAAGTTGCTCACAACCATTTTGACATTTTGTGGCTTTTTGGACAGATGCATCTCCATAATTTACCTGGTGGGACCATAGTGAAGGCGTTTTTGATCTGTGTGAGGTAGAGGACCAATGACAGTCTATCCATCTGCCCGCCATTGGCTAAGTCAGTGGCCGACATGACTGGTGGGATGCCGAGCTCCTTCTCCAAGATGTTGAAGGCCACTTGGTGGTTGTGCAGGCATGTGGACACTTTCAAGGAGCTCATGTCTCTGCGCAAGTGGTTAAGAAGAAGCATCGTCACTCTCACTTTCGACGCCACCCCATTAGCATTGCCTGGTGAATTCTCACTTCCATTGAGCAACTCACATGAGCTGTGGTCGGAAGTGGTGGATCAAAGCACACAGAGCCAGCCCAGACTTCCATGAATTGGTGAAATCTTTCACCTCCACATTGGTATAACCCGCGGTGCTTTTCTGGCACCATTTCAACAACTCCTCAAATCCACTGAATGAATCTAAATGACACAAAAGACAATCCATCAGGATGCCACCTTTACTGTATATGCGTCAACTGAATTTCAAGGCAAAGTATCTTGAAAGTAACGTGGCCGACGCATGCCGACCTTGACGTGTGTAAGAATGTCTGTTATTCTGTTTCTTGCTTGACGTATTAGATTTATCAACGATGTAAAGGTGCTGCACCTACAAAGAGAGACATGTAATCAGTAAATACAGCTTTAGTGCAAAATCATAGAAACTGCTCATTAAAAGTATACACATCAATTGATCATCCCTTGACATTAATTACATGTTGAAAAGGCGTAGGAAGTCAAAAACTCATTTCGTCCTACCCCTTATTCTCAATTTAATTCTGACTTATGCCATATAAATCCAATAATAGGTTATTCGTGAATAATACTGTTGTATAAATGTATCCAAATAACACGCCCATCGATACGCAAATGTATGATACAACCCTTATATAAGGAAGAGAAAACAGAACATTTTGGAAGAGAATCTTCAAGGCCCAGCAAAACTTCAAAGAGCCAAATAAAGCTAATTAATGTCATGAATTTAATTTTAAAAAATTAATCAAGGTACAATTTAGTTACACACTGTGGCTAACCCAACCAAAATCTCCAAAGAATGTTTCCAGTTTTTCAATTTATACAGGATTTACTTTTTTTTCTTTTTTTTAAAGTAAAGGTTTCTCCGATTTTACTATTTAGAGGTAGGTACCTGTACATGTTTGAGGTACATGTTTTATATTATAAAGTACTGCCAATATGACGGCCATATTCTGAACTCAAGTTGTCATTTTTGGCAGTGGTCCTCAAACTTTTTCCATCAAGCATCACATGAAAAAAAAATCTTCAAGTACCACCACGGATTAATTTAAGGTGTATTGCATATAAAAGTTCAATAAAAATTGTCCCTAAATAAATGCTTCTGATAAAACATCAAAAAGTTTAATACAACTGAAAGTTTTAGCGTCTCTATTTTTTCCAGAGAGTTGTTCAAACATTAAAATTAATCCCAAGAAGCTTGACTGTGTCCTTTGTTAATGGTGACGTTGAAAGTGATGACACTCTCGAAATGAGGCCAAAAAAAAAAAAAAAAAGATGGGATGATGTGACTGACCTGGCTGGTCTGGATGGAGGCGAGGTTGATTCTGACGTAACGCGTTTTGGGGTCGATGCTGTAGGCAGCGTAGTTTTTACTGGTGTTTTCTGGGGTGGTCTGGGACAGGGCCTGGTAGATACTTTCTCTACACATTTCAGGGAAGCAGAAGCAGATGTCAGAGTGACAAATACAGATTAGTTGAAATGTTGCGCCACATTTCACATAAAGAATAAAACATATACGACGTACACGAAAAGCTTTGATCTTACAAATGGTTGGTCACAAGTATAAGTTTTAAATGATTAGAAAAACAAATATTTTGAACCTGCAATGAAATTAAAAAATTCATGCAATAGTAGACATCTCAATTTTATGTGAACTTGGGTTTAAAAAAAATATGGTTCCAAGTTAAAGACAATTTTCATTTAGAATATTCTAAGTTAAGCAATGAGGCCAAGTTGGAAAGATCGAAAGAGGTCCCGGATGTTATTTAATCACAGCTCCACCCAAATTTCATCTCCACTAGTTCACGCAGTGTTACTTTCCACTCACCGCTCAGCGAGGACCTTGAGAAGAGGCACTCCCGTACCCCAACTCCTCACCATCCATGCCGTGTCAAAAGCTGCCAGAAATCCCCGAGCGATGCCTGTCCCGAGAGGCCAGAATGGCTGCCGAGGACAACGCAAATGAACTGTAACTACTTGTGACACTGCTTATACTGCTTTTGTGAGTTGATCCCATCTGATAGAGGCTGAGAGGCGAGATGAACCTTGGAATGATTACCTGTCAATTACAAGACTGACAGACACCGACGGCCATTCATGTGCACAAACAAGAGCGACAATTAAGGGCCTGATTTACGAAAGGTTTGCTTGCTAGCACAATACATGAGAAAACGAAGAAGAGTGTGTGTGACATATTCATTCTCTATTCCGTGATTTAATTTGGGAGGTTCTGATGATCGAAAGGCGAACTTGTTTGCCAGTCCCAATCAGCAGTCAAATGCTCTTTGATGATCATCTTGAGAGCCAGCGGTTCTCAAATGGGGGTGCTCGCACTCCACGGGGAATGTGAGATTTTAAGACATTTTAAAGTAAAAGAAAAATCCCTTAAAGATAAATATTAAATTAATTCAAGATTTTGTTTGCATGATGGCTTGTCTCTTGAAGAACCTGCAGGTCGAGTCCCTCGTAAATCAATGCTCCGGTATAGTACATTGCGAGCAAATGATGCAGGCCGTGTCTACTGCGAATTTTAGTGTATGCCACAAATGCTGTCTGGACAACAGTGGCCTTATGTGAGTGCGTTCAATGAAAATCATGTCAAGTATTAATAAGAGTCAGCATGGACACGGTTGTCAGTGACAAACAATTGTGAAGGGCAAAGGTGCACCAACCTCAACCAGGCAATCTCCAACCAGAGCCATCAACAGTTTGTTGCCTCTGCGCTCCCTAACAAGCGAGGCGTTCTCGGCCCGCTGCATGCACGTGAAGTCAAAGACGGCCACGTCAGGCTGGCAGGCGTGGTTCTGAGCAAATTGCAGCTCAGGCAGTCGCCCCCCGGTGGAGAAGTAGGCGGCGTCGCGGGCGTAGCGACGAAGCGCCTCCTGATCGATGTTGGCGGGCGCCAGCAAATCCTCCGCTTCGTTGAAGTCCTGGACAACAGGATGACAAGTTGGAGGACGTTGGCCATATCTTGCGTTTGTGCAGCCAGCTGATATCCAAAACAACTACGGTTCCTCTTTGTGACAGACATGCTGTTCGCACCTGCTTGATAACACCTTTCTTCAGCAAACTCGTCTTTTTGGCAGTCATGACAAAGTAGTGGGTGTCATCTTTGTAATACACGATGTTCTCCAAATCAATACCTGGACAGTAGGATGGCAGAGAGAGTGAGGAAAATAAGAATTGTAATAATTATGCAAATTATTTTGACACTTTTATTCCAAGGATCATTTTGGGTCCCTCAAAGCTTAAACGTTCATCAAATGTTAAGGTGCCTCAAGGGTGAGAGTTGAGTTGTGGTAATATAAATAATAAATACTAACTTGAAATCAATGAATAATTGTGTTTATAAATCGTGATTTCAACATTAGTCAAAAATAATTGCATCTATAATCTGATCCGTTTATTCTCATGAGTGTCGCGGGCGCGCTGAACCTGTCTTGGAGCGGTAGGCAAGGTACACCCTGAACTGGTCGACAGCCAATTGGATAATCCAAAATAATTGTGATTATTATCGCCCAGCCTTATTGTCATCTATTCACACGTGGACTCGTACCAGTCTCTGTCAGCAGATCCTGGAAGAACTTCTGGTTGTAGATGCGGGCCACGCCGCTGATCTCTGCCACTTGGGCCTCTGCTGCCGTGTTCCTGTTGACGAAGTTGGCCGTGATGCCGATGGCCAATTTGCCTCTCAGCTCCTTGTGCTGAAAGCCTAGCAAGCAGAATGGCAGTGCTGAACGTGCAGTTTGATGACAACGAGGAAGTATTGGCCTAACGGCGTAAGGCCTTCCAAAATGTCAGATTGCAGCCGGTCGTGGACCCCCTTGCGACAGCAGTGTGTCGTTTGTCTCACCCTCGGGGACGAACCTGCCTCCGCCGGCGGAAATGAAAACATCGAACTGGAAGGTTGAAGCAGGGTGAGTCTCAGGCAGTAACTTGGCTGTCCAACCTGTCACATACAAAAAAACAGCAGTGCCTCAGCACAGCAGATGCTACACTGATTGCGTCCTCAAAAAACAGGAGGGGGTGTGGGGGGGCGTGTACCTTTCTCGCCTGAGGGCTCAAGCAGACCTTGGAACTCCACTCCGGTGTGAACCTCAACCCCAAGGAGAAGGCACACTTTTAGAAGAATTAACTGCAGCTGACGAATGCCTATAACACAAAAGATTCGATTCAATCATTACGGTCTTAACATCTCAAGTTAGATTTGGCGCGTCAAGACGACGGCCCCGGGGACATTAGTGATTCACTGTCAATTTGTTGGGCCATCCGTGGCATATGCCTGTCATAAAATTCGCAACTGACACAGTCAGAGGTGTTTGCCTGTGTTGTACAACTTACTATCTATTACTATCTATACTGGGTGGCAAGGCAAGAGAAGAAAAAAAAATCTATTGTTCTCATCTTTCACTTCATAATCCTTTTTTTAAGATGCAGTATTTGTGTAGCTCCTCATCCCAACTAAACTTTAAGTCTATTAACAATGAAAAGTCTTCAAATTTACACTTTCGTCATGTCCCTGGATCCACAGGAAGTGGCATCATTCAGATCCTCTGCGTACCATGGCAAGACAGAGTTCACACATTTGTTTTGTACAAATCTCGGCTCTGTCCTGTTACGATAATATATTTTTTATTGTTGATTTATTTTATACTGCCAACATGCTAGTAGTATCAATGCCATGTGGTTATATATTATGTATTGACTAATTCCATAATAAAAATTGCCTCCTGTTTCAGTCCTATTACTCAAATGAGGAGTTGCAGTACGTCAAACAATGACACAAAAATATTAAATCACCTGAAATGAGTGGATACACATTTTGAGTAGTTCAATATATGTACCGTAATACAAGATTTAGAGCTGAAAAAGACATGATCCCATCATGAGACACACCAATTTCCTGGGAATGCTCGTTTGTTACCTCCAATTGACTGGCAACCAGTCCAAGGTGCAAAGTGAGCTTCAGCACACCCTTGACACAAGTGATCATAATTATTTGCTGGATGTTCACTTCCTTCATGCTTGCTTGTAATGTCATTCAGTTCCTTAAATGTGTTGCCATTTGTGTGTCTTACTTTCAGCTCTTTTGACCTCGGGTGTTCAAGCTGCTATGCAAATTAGATTCAAGTGTTCACAAATAATTGGCTTGTAAAATGCCTGTGCAAAACAAACACAACATGCATGACGTAATCCCAAATACAAGGAGTGAAATGTTGCAATTGACCTTACAGTCTGGGTTAATTAAGGCCATGATAAAGATTAAAGACATTAAACGCTTGTGCAAATATATTTAAACAAAGTTGCTGTGGTTTTGCAGAGTACATGACTTAAAACACATGACTTATTTTCTGTTTCACCTTCTCAGAACTCATCTTCTGCTCTACTTTCAGTGACACCTTGAAATGTGTGTCATTTCCTTTTTGATAAAGGGAGTTACTGTGGGCAGCCCGATGGTCGAGTGCTTAGCGCGTCAACCTCACAGTGCAGAGGTGCATGGTTCGATTGCGGCTCCGGCCTCCCTGTGTGGAGTTTGCATTTCCTCCCCGTGCCTGCGTGGGTTTTCTCCGGTTTCCTCCCACATTCCAAAAACATGCATGGCAGGCTGATTGAACACTCTAAATTGTCCCTATGTGTGAGTGTGAGCGTGGATGGCAGTTTCTCTCTGTGTGCCCTGCGATTGGCTGGCAACCGATTCAGGCTGTCCCCCGCCTACTGCCCGAAGACGGCTGGGATAGGCTCCAGCAGCCCCCGCGGCCCTTGTGAGGATAAGCGGATCGGAAAATAAATGAATGAATGAATGAACAACTGAACGCTATCAAGTTTGTTTCAACTGTCGCTTGGTGCATTAGCAACGAGCTAGTTTGGCTTAGAGCTAACAGTTAAAACGTTTCCGCAAGCAATCTCAAGGAAATACAGCTAAAGTGACTCATAATCAACAATACTGTATACGATTACAAAGCAGGCCATGTCATCACAAAAATAATTTGAGCAAAACAATTACTTTCTTAGCTCACAAATATGTTTTCTCTCACAATTTTTCTATGTCTGCTTTATGACTCTTTTTCACATGCGGACGAAGGACCAAACTAAGAATTTGCAATGTTAATGTGGTGATTCCTAATTCCTTCCTGATTGGAGCAAGTGCTAAGTTTTAAAACTGCCAAGTTACAAGTGCCACCGGTGTACCCTGCTATCACATGTCAGAAGTCACTCACTGATGTGATCCAAAGAGCCGGTGCAAAATTTTCCGTAGAACTTCTTGGCGCCGAGGCCGCGCAGGTCATAAATGGTGAAGGGCCATAGATGAAGAACGTTGTTTCTGGAGAAAGTCTCTCGCTTCTCCAGCACCACCACCTCAGCCCCCAGCAGCGACAGTTCGATGGCCGTCCTCAGCCCGCATGGCCCAGCACCCAAAACCAAACACTGCAAGGGAGGAATAAATACAGTACACGCACAGTTAGTTAGGCCAACCACAGGAGGCTCACAAACCAACCAGATCTCGACCTGCAGCCTAAACTTTCCAAAACTGGTGGCAAACATGGTGTCATCCTCTACAAGACCCCTAAAATATAATCAACAGTAAAATAATCTGTGAGCCAACATGAAAGTTTTTAAATTCCTGGTTCAATCCCTTTAATAAATAAGTAAATAAAATGAGTGAAATGAGGTATCAAGTACTCGCGATGGCTGTCACAACATACATTAATAAATAAATAAATAGTGGTGTTGTATCACTGAGTACTCAAGATTCGAGTATTGGTATTGGTCTTAAAAAAGGTGATACCACCCTTTGAACATCCCTAATTTTGTGTACTGTCTCAGTACTTTGTCTGGTTGCTATCTTGCTATATGTCAGCATAGCATTATTTAGCATCTTTTTTTTTTCTAATCTCTTAAAAAGCCCAAAACTAAGATTTTATTACATTTTTTTCTCTTTTACCTCCGATCAATCTCATTCCCTGAATGATTCAATTTATTCAAACCTTGGAACAGATCGACTCTTTTACACACCATGTCATTCCCAAAATCAGCGGCTCTCCAAGAGTCAGCAGGTCCATTCCAAAGTTCCGTGGAGATTTTCTAGTTCTACACTGTTGCCCGCAGCCAGTTCAGCATGGCAAAAGTGATTTTGTTCTTAATTGTCTTACCTGGATAAATCAAAGTTTTCAACTTGGAACACGACTGGAAATTTCCAATCCTATTGGTGAATGGGTGGGGATCAATGTACCTGCTGTAAAAGTCCTCAGTGTGCTGTCTGACAATTTAAAACACATGCTTTTGAAAGGCAAAGAGCTACAGCTCAGCAATACCTTGTTTTTGGTGCATGCTTTCCTTTGCTGGTAGTCTGGGTGAGATGCCCGCTTATCCAACTTAGTCCACAAAGCTTTGGCTCGCCAGTAGTTGAGCCTCTCTTTCAGCTTGCTGTAGAAGCTCCGAAAATCCTTCAGATTGACGTCCAGCTGCCGGCAGAGCTCATTGAAGTGTCGCTGGACATCGTTGCAGTCCTGCGCTTGGACGAAACGGTCAAAGGCCGCGTGCGAAGGGTTGACGGGGTCCTGGCTCGCCATGGCGAACAAGAGCTGCAGCGCTGCGTTGCACAAAAAGAGGTTCCAGTTTAGTTTGGAGGACTTCTTGCCTGCAGGCTTTCATGATCAAAAGACCTTGTTGCTGTTCGCTGCTGGACTTTTATAGGCCCCATCTCGTCTTCCACCTCCTGTGTGATGGGAAGTCCCCCACTCACTCATCGCTTCTTATGATAGGCCTGATGATTAAACAGTGCGCACGTTGGCTGACTCATGAACAACCTCCTCCTTGTTGCTGTTTAGGGAACTTTACGTCCGCGTTTTTGTGGCATGCTTGCGTACAGCCTGAGGTGACAAACTCGTTGTTGGTTTCAGTGGTGACGGGTCCAACTTTTTCCACGTTGAACACTACCGCAGACTTTTCTACATTTTGTCTCAAATTAATAGCACAATCAAAAGCGAGATTGGAAACCATTCCGAAGACAGAAACTCAGCAGGATAGCGTAGATTTAGAAATCCTCTACAGTTGTGGAGAGACAATCGATTCAAGGACAACAAATCACTTTAAACTCATCAACAACCACTTCATTCATCATTTAGAGACCGAGATATTGATCAAATCCTTGGAATTTAAGCCTCTTAACAAGTAATATTCGTGAATTTCTGTAGTCCTCCAGGAAAGCAGACTGATTTTCTGTGTCTTCACCAAAATGAGACATTTGCAAATATTTACCTTTACTTTGGAAAACCGCAATCAACATTTTTGCCAATTTTCTGGCAGATGTTACGGACCAAACCAGTCACTGAATCTTTTCTGATTGATTGCGCATTTTGTGCAATGTCAGTTTGAAATAATGTCCTGTTTTTAACTCAAGGTATGGAACTCACTTTTGTTTTTTATCCAATTCATTGATTAATCCCACACAAAAAAAATAAATGACAAAGTATTAAAAGTATAGTTGCAGCCCTAGTGTAGACATCGTTATTGACAGGTGGCCAGCTCTCCATTTCCTTAGTAGAATAAAAAATGTAGAGTACATGCGTAAAAAAAGAACTACATATATCAAGTTTGAGAGAGCTCATCAAATCAGGAAGACAAACGGGAAATGCAAGAATGAAGCAAAGTCTTACACAAAAGCTACGAAATGGGTATTAGTGCGATACTGAAAAGAAAAAAAAAACCCTGCATTTTCCAGAAAAGGCTGTAAAATTAAGTCAAAAATTAACAATCAAAAAGTCTGATTTTTAACAACGTCCTCTCATTATTGACTTAAGGTGGTTGTTTTGCAAGACACACTAATCTTTAGAGTCAATATTACAGTCAAACAATGAGACGTATGTGTGACTTAATCAACACCAGGCTGAACCTGCCGTACATGTTATTTCTTGGAAGTGAAATTTCCGCCAAGTAACCAAAGCAACGGCTCTGCAAGATACCGTAACCTCCGCTCTGCTGCTTCTGCTGTCCTCTACCTGCGCCACGGAGTCACAATTACACAGCAGGCAAACGTGCGTGTTAACGTGAGGGCCGACTGAACGTTTATGCTGCTGCATTCAAGAGTCCTTTGCCACGTTTTATGACATCACTGCCACAAAACAAGCGGTCAAATAATCCAGCCAGGTGCTGTGTGTGCTTTAACTGTGGATTTCAGTCAGAATTGTGCAGGTTTGTTTTGAAATGTACCCTGTAATTATTGGATGGCTCCCAATGTACAACACTTCTTGTACAAATATTTTCTCAAACGCATTTAGCCACATGAAAAAAGTAATTATATATATATATATATGTGTGTGTGTGTGTGTGTGTGTGTATGTGTATATATATACACACACACATATATATATA